GCATTGCTGTACAGAGGTAACTCGTGGTTGTTGTGATGCTGAAGCCTGTGACAGTGATGTGCCAATTGTGGTAATGGGCACCCATGGTGGACAGTGTTTGCTAGAGCTTCCTGACTAAATCAAGCCTGGAAGCAGGAGCGGCATCCACTTCTGAAATGGCTTGCCTCCGGAAACTCTATGTACGAACAGTGCTCAGGCTGTTCGTTCATAGGGTCGCTATGAGTCATCTATGACAGCATTAAACAACAACAACAATATAGATAAGGAGGGAGCCCTGTGGCAGAGTGTGTTATGTGTTGTACTGTGTTACTTGAAGCCTAATGGTTTGAATCCAGGAGCTGCTCTGCAGCAGAAAGATGGCCTGTCTAACAAAGATAGTGCCCTTCTCTAGGGTGGTCTGATCTACCCTAATAACACGTCCAAAATATGTGAAACAGTCTCACCAGCTTTGCTTCCAACAAGCATTCTGGTTAAATAATCTCAATTTGACACCTCAGTGTTGGAGATGTCAAGCTGGGACTATCTTCAGAGTTCTCAGCCTTAACTATTACCATTGGTGCCTAGCCAGTCATTCATAAAATAGTTGCTCAACAAATGTTAACAAAATTGGACTGAAGGTGGTGGGACTGGGAACCAGTGGAGGAAAATGCAGTGTTGGGCTGGCTGTGAACGTGGCTGGTGTGGGCAGGCTGTGTGTGTCTTTGGGACACAACCTGGAGGCAGTGATGTGAACAAGAGACATGCTTTCCACAAACTGAGGAAAATGTGCTTGACTCAAGACTGCTGACTGGAATAAAAGGATGCTAAATTGAGTTTTAGCCATTTCTATGGCCTTTACAATTACTTGCTATGCATCAGAGAGTTAGACAATGACTAAGAATGACAGGAGAGGAATCAATACCTTTGAGTTGTGGTGCTGGAGAAGAATATTGAACACATATACCATGGACCGCCAAGAGAACAAACAGATCTGTCCTGGAAAGGGTAAAACCAAGCTGATCTTTGGAGCCAAGGATTTTGATGCTCTGTCTCATACTTTGAGCATGTGGCAAGGAGGGACCTGTCCTTATATAAGGACATCATGCTTGGAAGGGTGGATGGGCACAGCAGGAAAGGAAGACCCCGGAGGAAATGGACTGAAACAGTAACTGGGGTAATGGGGGTAGGTGTGTTGGTGTCAGTGAGACAGACTCAGGACTGGGCAGGTTTCAGAGCTGTTGTATGCTGAGTCCCTATGGGTCAGTCACAGGTGATTTGACGGCACATGACAAGAATAATGTGGATTTAGGTCTTGCATATTGTAAAAAAGCCTTTTTCTTGTGTTGGTTTACTGTATTCTTACATGACAAGGGCTTCTCTGTGAACTGTGGTTTGAACTCAGTGTCCTCCAGGCCCCACCCAGGCCTTCTACAGTGATTGAATTCCTAACAGCTACTTTGCTCTCTACAGAGTTCGAACCTGCAGAGAAGCAATGCTGGCAGACACAGGCTGGATGAAGCTTGGACGACGTTCAATTATTTTTTAAAGGAAAATCAAGCTATTATTACTTAACAAATGCAGTTTTATTTTGTACAATTTTTTCCTTAATTTGAGAGGGGACAATAACAGAAATTCTTCTTGGTAAGAAAAATGGACACCACTGAGATGAGGAAGGCCAACGCCAAGGCGCTACCTTCCATCCATGCCTTTCCCTGTCATGGCTTCCTGACCTGACTGTAGAATCGAGCTGACCTGACTGTTAGACCTGGGAGAGGACAGGCCCAGAGACCTTTAGGTTTGACAGGATTAAGTGAAGTTCTAGAACTCAGTAGTTGTCAAAAAGGAAACCTGGGAGAAATCCCACTTTTCCTTTACTCTTGCTCTGGACCCAGAGCCAGGTAACACTGACCTTGAGTAAGTTATCTGAGAAATAAACCTGTCTTAAACGTACTTGTTTAAGAAATCTATCCCTGATTTCTTTTTTTTAAAAATTTTATTTATTTATTTATTCATTCTTTTTATGTGTGTACCGTCAAATTGGATCTGACTGGTACAGGAGGCGACTGTTCCTCCTTCTTCAGCAGAGCATCTGGTGGATTTGAACCGCACACCTCTGGGATTGCCGTGCAGTTTCCTACCACTAGGCCACCAGAGCTCGCCTATCCCTGATTTCTTAATTTGCAGAATTTGAATCATTGTACTTAGGAGATATTAACAGCAGGCTAAGCTCCATATCTGGCAACATGTCGTTTTAATTTTTCATTGTGACTTGAGTGTTGTACAGAACAGACTGATTTCCCATTAAACAATTCCTACGCACAGTGTCCTATGACACCGATGACCAACATTGTAACAGCACTTTTCTCATGTCTTCCCTGCGTTTCTCCTTTCCACTCATCCTTTCCTATCCCATCCTTTCCGCCCTTTACCCTGGTCAAATTTCATCCCTTGACCCTGAATTGTTCTAAGGTGTACATTCCTCCCTGATGCTATAAAGCATCTACTGCTTGCCGAGTGTTGGGTCATGGGGGTAACTTTAATTCCAGGCCCGGTGACTCAGGATAGTTTCGGGGTCAGCATACATTGCTGGCACTGAAAGCTGCAGAGTTGATTTGGATTCCTAACCACATTGTACATGGACAGAACTGCTCATAGGGTTTTCTAGGCTTGATTTTTATGGGAGCAAATCCCTAGGTCGGTCTCCTGCAAAAGTGAGCGATGGCATTCAGATTGCCAACCTTTCAGTCAGCAGCTGTGTGCTCAGCCTTTGTGCCACCAGGCTCCTTGTTAACACGTTAGGACACACTTGCTGACAGCTTTTGCAACTATTACTTAAGTCAATGGCTCATTTACAGATTGGGTCACACAGGTAGTGTGAATCAAAATTGCAAATTCATGCACACCTGTCATGTGAGGCTCTTTAACACTATTCTCTGTTGCACCTTTGCTAGGACACTGCATATTAGAATTAGGGCAGACATCTCTACTGCCTATAAAATTCATTACTTCTGGGTGATGACAGTATAGCTGTCTTCATTGAACTTTCTTCTTAGTTTTTTAAAAATTTTTTTAAATGGTCCTTGAAAAAAAAATGGTCCTTGCATCAATTAATTCATTAGTAGCTAATGCCTGCAGCCTGTCCATGTGGAATCCCTACCTGAGGATACTTACTCTATGGGTGGCCAAATTATAGATTTGAGAGTTACTGGCAACGAGATGGACTTTTTTTTTTTTAGATGGACTTTTTTTTTTTTAAATAAATTTTGGTGAGCAGGTGAGGTTCCTGTGAGTCCATTAAAACTGGGCTGTAGAAGGAGTCTCGGAACCAATTTTAAGGAACACCAACAAGTGGTAGAGGCATAGACGAAGGAGAATGAGGAGGAAAATGGTGAAAACCTCCATGTTTACTATCTGCTTTGTAATATCCCTGAGTGGTGCAAGCAGTTAACACCCTTGGCTGCTACTCAAAAGGCTGGAACAGTCTGGGCCTGATGATCTACTTCCAAAAACTCAGTCACTGAAAATTACTGCAGATGGAGGGTAAAATATATTAATAAGTATTACTAACAAGACAGAACACCAAGAATGTAGGAGAAAACAGGTAAAGCAGGAGACGAACAGTTCTTAAACAACTGGAGCGCAACAGACCTTAGTTAGCTTCCCTGGATCTTTATTGAAAATTGCCAGGGAGCAAATCACCAAGAGAATTCAATACAAATGAAGCCAAGCTCTTTCTATCAAAAAACCTTATGCTTGACTCAGGAGGGAGGGGTTAGCAAATACAATACAACACAAGAATCCTGTAAACGCTTAAGGATTGCCTTAGTGTCTACCCCTGTAAACATTTCAGGATCGCCTTAGTGCTTCAGGGTGAATCCAGCTTGTATCAGCCTCCCTCATAACCTGAAGTAGCATTCGGTTTATTACAAATATTTAGTATGAAATTTGGCTTCCCATAGAAAACCCTATGAAGCAATACACTCTTCTGTGACACACATGGGGTCATCAGGAGTCAGAAGCAAGCCTATGGCATCTGATTTTGGGAACTGGTGTAACCGGAAACAATGGTGGGCTGTGTCATACTGACTAAGGGACCTTTCTTCCCCCCCGCTCTTCTCACTGTAAATTTACCTCTCATAGTTTGTAAGAGAGCTTTGAGTGGGTCAATGCACTACAAAGAATTGTACTGTTAACCCTCTCTGGCTGCTTGAGTTTGAATCCATCAACTGCTCTGTGAGAAATGGACGGGCACGCTCCTGTGACATTTTCAGCCTCAGAAAACCCACTGCAGGGTCAGCTATGAGTCAGTTCCAACTCAATAATAACTATGATAACGTTTGTAAATGCATTCATTACACCTTAACGTAGAAAGACTCGAACTCCTTACCTTGATGACACTGATTGGAACAGTGGATTTGAACCAAAAATAATCTTTGGGTTGGCGGCTCAACTCCTCACCCACTAGGCTATCAGAGCTTGTTGGTCCAGATTGTTGTAATGAACCCTGGAGTTGCTGGGCTAAAGTGCTATCTCTTCTCCAGAGATTCAGAGACACTTGTTTCTCTATTTGCCAGCTCATGTGGCAACTAATCTAGAACAAGTTACCTACCTTCTCTAAACCCAGGTTTCTTTGCAAAATGGAAGTCACTGACTTTTAAGGAAAATATGAAAATCTAACTCACTGCCATCCAGTCAGTCATTCCAACTCAGTAACTTGTAGAGCACAAAGAACTCTCCACAAGGTTTCCGACGCTCTAAATGTTTGGGGAGGGGGAGCTCTGGTGGCCTAGTGCTAAGAAGCTGCACTGCAATCCTAAAGATTCTCAGTTCGAATCCACCATCTGCTCCATGAGAGAAGAATGGTCAATCTCCTGCTTTTCGATGTACTGCTTCTGAAAACCCGCGGGAGGGTCAGTTATGAGTCGGTTCCGACTGAAGGCAAACAACTACAAATGTTTATGGGCGCTGTGACTCCCTCCTCTTTCTCCATCTGTAGACTGATGGTTTCAACCACTAGCGGAATGCTTTTATCCTCTACATTACCAGGTCTTCAAGTTTACCGAGAAAGAGCGTGCACATTACAGGAGCAGCGCTGTCACCCCAAAGGCTGCAGGTTGGAATCCACCCGCAGCTCCGCGAGTGAAAGAAGCGCGATTGAAAAGCGACTCCAACCCGATGGCGCGTAAGAGGAATTGCATCTTTCCGGTTTCTTCACTCGGAAAGCGGGTGTAACTGTGCCCGTTAGGAATCTGTGGTTAGGAGAGGGTCAGACATTCCGATCGACTTGTTTGGTTAGCACCGTCCGCGTTTTAAACAGCTGCCCTGGGGCCACGCTTTTAGACGCGTGCAGGGAAAGGTCGCTCTGTCCATGTGCAGACACGGAGAAATCAAGCTCGCTGCTGTCGGGTTCTGCAAATCCATGAGCCAGATAAAAACCTCATCTCCCCGCGAGCCCCAGCCAGCCGGCCTCCGCGTCCCCGCTTGACCCCTGCAGAGACCACACATCCCAGCATGCCGCGCGCGGGCGCCCGAAGCCCCGCCTCTTCCGGGTCACGCCGCGCGTGGGCGCCGCTCTAGGCGCCCCCTCCGCTCTTTGGTCCCGCGGCGGCCCAGTGATGGAGGCTGATGGTGACCGCTGGTTCGGCGGCGAGTTCGAGGACTCGGTGTTCGAGGAGGGGCGCGAGCGGCGGAGCCGACCGCCCGCGTCCTACTGCGCCAAGCGCTGCGAGCCGCAGGTGAGCGGGACCGGCCGCCTGGCCCAGGTCCGACGGCTCTGCCGGCGCGGACC